CAGATGAGCTTACCATACTTGTATTTGACTGATTTGCTTTCAAACCTACTGATGGCTACAAACATTAATTTCTCCTGTGTCTGTTTTTCCTCCTTCTAGTGCATTTAAGATCAGTCATCCTCAGGTGAAGACCTTTTATTTTGCAGCTGAGAATGTGCAGGAGATGAACGTGTAAGTAGAGAAATGCTAAATACAATCTTGATGGGAATAGACTTTGGCCAGCTATTTGCGTTTTAAGCATATGTACATTATCAATTTTGATTTATTTCTGCTTTTAAGAATTAATCTCTTTACCAATATAAGATCTTTTTACTTTCTTTCCTTGTACTTGGAAGCATTTTAAAGAACTACACATCTCAAAATGGTTATTTTGGAAGAAGAAATAAGTTTCTTCTGAGAGAATTGCTAAGTTGAGAAGGGACTAGAGAGAAATCATTATAAGCAAATGTCAGAATGCGAATCAGCATTGCAGGGGAAAGGGCTGAAAATATTATGGACCAAACTCGCTGCTTTCAGATTTGCGAATGAAAAACAACTCTAGGGCATTTCATGTGCTGTGCAGGATTATTGTAATGATTCCCATGCCTGTTGCCTCTGCATGCTCACTTCAGACATGTTGAAAAAAAGTACATGTAAGTTACATGTAAGAGTACATGTAAGGTAAAATTTTATACCCTAATTCCATTTCTTGTTTGTTTTGATTGAATAAGTGAGATATAATGGATGGGTTTTCCAGTCCGGGTCCCTTTGTCACTGGCTTTGATGGTGGCCAGTCATATGACTATTTTTTTTTTTTCATTTAAAATTTTTTTAATTGAAGTGACATTCAATCAGAAGATGAGTTTCAGGTACATACACATTAAGTTCATCTCTAAAATCCCAACTTTACTCCTCAACATATCTGTGCCCCTTGTGGACTCACCTTCTCTCTGGGACCCTTCAGTTGGTCTTTGAGCCCAAGCATTGATTTTTGTTTGTTTTTGTTCATATGTTTGTTTGCATTATAGACCACATATGAGCGATTATCACATGGTGTTTGTCTTTGGATTTCACTAAACTAGAGTAACTTCTACCTCCATCCATGTTGTTGCAAATGGCACCATCTCACCTACTTCTAACAGCCAAATAGTATTCTACTGTGTTTCTTATATACTGCTTCTGTTTTACTCATTCAGTGGTTGATGGGCATTTAGGTTGTTTCTAGTTCTTAATTTCTGTAATAGTATAAGAAACAAGGGAGTGTGTACATTTCTTCTAGTGTTTTCTAATTAATTATTTTTTTTTTTATTTTTTGGTGAGTACTGGAAGTACCTGAGTAGTGTGGAATTTCCACTTCTGATTTTCTGAGCCTTCTCCATACTGCTGTCAGTAACGGTTGGACCAGTGTGCAGACTCTGCAGCAGTGTAGGAGGGCCTTGTCTCTCCACATCCTCTCTAATAACGGTTGGTGCTTGTCACAATATATATTTGAAGGAGGTTATATATACTTGAGGTGATTGACATCAGGAAATATGCTATTTAATTCAAGCTCTGTTCTCAGAGTCTCTTTTTTTTTTTTTTAAGATTTATTTATTTGTACATACAGAACTGGGGTACAGGCCAGAGGCTCTGGGGCGGTGAGAGGCTTCACCAGAGACAGAGTGGGGAACAGAACAGGCAGATCGACGAAGCACACTGCTGAGGGGAGCAGCGGGTGGGTCAGGAGAGGTCTGCCACACCATGTGGTCACCTCCAGGGCAGACGGGAATCGAACTCATGCGGAAGCGGCTTTAGGTTCTCAGTGCTGTGCTTTAACCCGCTGCGCCACCAGGGAGGGCCAGTTCTCAGAGTCTCTTACTCCCTCCACCTAACTCCTTCAAATGATGCCTTTAGAACACCTGCTATGTAACCCTCTGTGTGGGTTATGTAACTCCTGCTACGTAGGTTACGATGTGACCTACCTCCATCGCAGTTCCTGGGCAGAGAAGTAAAGAACAGAGACATAAATCTTCTGTTCACAGAGTCTGTTTCACTAACTCTCTAACTCCCCTCTATAATTTTCTTTGTACTCTTTCTGGAAACAAAGAAGGAAGGAGTTGTTTTACGTTATCTACAATAGCTAAGTTATGGAAGCAACCTAAGTGCCCAAAGACAGGAGAGTGGATTCAGAAGATGTGGTCCAAAAAAGGCATAATCCCAGTTGGCTGTAGAAAAAATGAGCTCTTAACTTCTGTGACAACATGGATGGATTGGAGGGGATGATGCAATGCAAAGGAAACCAGAAAGAGAAAGACAGGGGCCTCTCTACTGGTGCAGTGGGTTGTCTTAGCACTGTGAAGCTATCTGCAGCCACTGCGGCCTGAGTTCAATCCCGGGCCGGGGACCCGACCCGTGTGTTCCCCTCAGCAGTGCATTTCAGTAGATTTGCCTGTTCTGCTTCCCATTGTCTCTGCTGAATCCTCTCATTTTTCCCATAGCTCTGGCCTATACTCCAGCTCTTGTATGCATAAATAAATAAACCTTAAAAAAAAAAGACTGACTGATGTCACATCTAGTACAAAGAAATAAAAGCAAGGGTCATATAAAACCAAACCAGTAACACACCCCCAGAATCTGACTGTTGAATTGAGGTTCCAAGAGGGGGAGAAAGGGGGGTGAGCAAAGGTCGGGTCCCCATGGACTATGGCTAAGGACTTTTGGTGCCTTGGCGGGGTGTGGTGTGATCCTCCTGAAGGGTGTCTTCCTGTGCCTCTGAATCTCATACAGTGTTGTCAACCAATGTTCCCGCCATTTAAAAAAAAAAAAGTTGTGGTGATAACCAGGATCTCCAAAACAAAAAACAAAGCTATGCTTGTGCAGTTGTGACTGACCCTCTGTGTACACACACACACACACACACACACACACACACACACACAGTCCTTCCTAGCTGGGACCATCCACGCTGCTCTCTGCACTGATCTCCCCACCACACCTCAGAGGAGCGGGGCGGCTCTTCGCCCGGAACTCTGGGGAACCCCGTGTTAGAAATACCTGGGCCAGGCTCTGCTAGTGAGTCCTCCAAATCAGTCTCTATTTGCTGGACAAAGAAGAGCTGTTCTTCCCATTTCTGATTTTGGCTCTTGCCCCGCCTCTTCCCCCAGCTTTCTCAAGCTCCTGGTAAAAGAAGAGCAGCTTCACAAAGGTGACTTTAAGAACGTCCTCAACACCCTCTCTCCTTTCACTTGCATGCTCGGGGGACCAAGCCTGGGTGGTCAGTGGCGTGTGGGGGTGGAGAGCCTGGCCTGGTGACTGGGGCCTGTGGCAGCTGCGGCTGGGGCCGAGCCTCTTGGAGCTCACTCCCCTGAGCCAGCCAGGGGGTCCTGCTGGCCTGGCCTCTCTACAGCCGTTGTAGCTCAGCTTCCTTCCTCGTTCTGCCTGTCCTGTGGCTGGCTGCTCTTTCAGGCTGTTCTGGTCTCTCTGACAAGGGACGTGCGAAGCTGAGTTTATCGCCTCATCCCTCTTCAGTGTTTCGTTACCAAGTGCATTTCTCCTCCTACATGTAAAATACCTTGTTAACCAAATAAAAGTGACAGAGCCTTACATGGTTATCTGAATCTGTTCTATTTCAGGCAGATTTGCTCTCTCAATCTCACCTCGGGTTATTTCGCTTCCTGCCCACCCACCTCTCTGGCTTTTGTTTATATTTTGAATCTATTTATCTATCTTCTGTTTTCAAATTCTCCTTTGCAGATAGATATCTGTCTCACAGCAGGGTGAGTGGCCTGAATTTGCGTGGGCCTATGTACCCTGTCTGTCTGGCTATGAAATCTAAGCCTCTCATAGGTATCAAAGCCAAGATCTCATCACCCACTTCCACCAAGGTGATCTCTTCCTTCCCTGCATCGTACTAGACTTTATTATCTCTCTGTTTTTTAAAAAGTTACTTATTTATGCATACAAGAGCTGGGGTGCAGGCCAGAGGTATATAGCAGGGAAAAGAGAGGATCCACAGACAGAGTGGGGGGCAGAACAGGAAGATCTACTGAAATACACTGCTGAGGGGAGCAGCGGGGAGACAGGAGAGGTCTGCTCCATGTGGGTCAGCTCCCTGGCTAGGGATCGAGCTTCAAAGTGCTGAGACTTAGTGCCTTGTGCCACCAGGGAGGTCTCTCTCTTTCCTACTTACAAATGAGGTATAAATTGAAATTTGAACTTGAAGTGTCCTGAATTTTGGTAATGACTCTCTGTGCGCACTTGATTCTTGAAAATTGCCCATCCATTTTGTCTGTGTCTGGATATTTCCTCATTTCTTCTATGTGTTGTATGATTAAGTTTTGTTACTGTGAAGATGATTTTTCTAATAGCCAATAACGCAGACCGTCGATCTCCAAGCCCACACCTCCCTTCTCTGGTAAGACTATGCCAGTGATTTTCAGAGATTGGCTGGGCCGGGCCACCTGGGAGCCCCCTTTCTTGCTGGTGTGGCTTATTTCAGGCCCTGCAAAATGTGTCTGGAGACTTCGTAGCGAGATGTAGAGATGTTGAGGAAGGAAGGGGGAGCACCCTGGAGGAACACATCCCATTTTTAGAAGTTCGTTTCCTTGGGTAACTGCATTTTTGGGTGGTGACATTTCTCTCCGGGATGACGAAGGAAAAGGTAATTAAGCTTAATAGAAATGCTGTGTGAGTTGTGAGGACCCTCCATTTTAAAAGCACAGCACTCAGTAATTAAGGATAATGAAAGAGCCGGTTTCTAAACAAGACCAGCATTAGCTGCCTTCCTCAGACAGTGTTTGTGGGAAGAGTGTGCTTGTTTTCTACATCAATTCCTTAACATTTGTGCTCCTCCAGCACACACATCCACATCAAGTTACCACACAACAAACTCCTGGGAAGCATCTGTCATCTTCTTTTATGTAAATAGAAGCCTTTGTGTGTATCTGTTTCTTCACAAATAGAATTTTTCCTATAGTCTTGATGTTTTATGAAAAGTGCTGCCATGGAGGTACTTGAAGCCTCTGGGTTCTCGAAAGAAAACAAGAATGATTATAACTAGTTTTTAAAAATGAGTAACTAACGATGGCAGTTGGAAATACATGGCTTTTGGGTAAGGGCTGGGAAGAACCTTTATTATCAATGCTTTAGCGCTAGGTCTGCATTCCCACGCGCTACAAAGCAACTTAGAAATGACTTTTGTGTTGATTTCAAAAAGTGTATGCTTCACTTTTAGATGCTCTTTAAAGGTCCACTGCTATAATTATGAAGTGATACACTAAATATTATTTTTACATGAACCACTAAATCATGGGATTTGACTGATCACGTTTTAAAATGTAATTTCAAGTGTTTCAATTAATATATAATGCATATTGTTGTAAAAAATCATGTAACACAGATGTCTGTGAAGTGAAAACTTTCAGAAGTCTATGAAGTGAAAACTTCCCACACTCCAATTTCGCCTTCCAATTCAGCGTATCTCTGAGGATCACCACTCTGGCAGTGTGTCACGTAAACCCTTCCTCATGCAGTTACTTGCATATTGATTCATGCATCAGTACACACATATAATTTTATTGACTGAGCTAACGACATTGTAGAGTACGTCTACTTTTCACATTTGTTAGTCCTTTCCCCCCCCAGGTCATTACAAGGCCCCATCTTAGTCTTTTGATTAACATTCTAACTGGATACTTACATAAGCAGTGTTATACTTAATCCATTTTTCCATTAAAGGAGAATTACACTGTCTTAATGTTTCCTTTGTCACACAAGCTTTATTGACTTAACATTTTCCTATTTTGTATGTGTGTACATGAAGGGGTGTTTTTTTAAAGTAGGTGTTTAGATTTAGAGTTTATCTAATTAATAGCTAGATACTTAAACGTGAATATCCATTTTCCCCAATGTGTTAGTAGCATCAAATTGCCTGCTCAAATTAGCCTGTATCAGTTTTTCTGTTTGTTTGTTTATCCCAACAAAGGGTGAAAATGTTTCTTTGTAAATTTTGGACAGCATTATTTTTTTTCCAATATACTGGTACAAAATACTTTCCTGTGTTTAAATAGGCATTTCCCCAAATACTTTTGAGACAGATTTTTTTTTTACTATATATTATCAGTTATTTATATTTTCCACTGTGATTTCCTTTTTCTTTGTTTTGTCAGTTATTCTATGGATCTTAACCAACATTTTCTAGTTCTTATGGTTTGATTTGAATCACAGTGTCAGCCCAGTTTTCAGTGGCCAGTAGGGAACTCAGGTTTATCATGGTGTTGAAGGGGACTTCTTATAGGAAGTTTATCATTATTGTCTTTACTGAAGTGATGTCGGTTTACAACACTGATGCAGGAGCATCGCCTCACACTTCTTCAGATATGTTTACCACACCAAACATCCATAATCCTTCATCCTACACTCCTGAGCCCTTTCCATTTGCTCCCGTCTCCCCTCTGGTAGCCTCAATTCAGTACTCAGATTTCTAGAGTTTGTTTCCTTTTTCTCTATTTATGAGTCAAATCATCTAGAATTTTTCTTTCTCCTTCTCACTAGTTAGTTGAGCATAACCCCCTCAATAAAAATATCCATGGTGTTACAAATGGCAAGATTCCATCATTTTTAGAGCTGGGCAGTAGTATTCCACTGTACACTTTTTGTTTGCTTTTTAATATCAAATTTATTAGATAGTTGCTTTTTAAAAAATAAGAAATAAAGACCATGGCAGGTTGAGAGTTGAGTCAGGATTTCTATTTAGATGACAACTGAAGACATGGAAATGTGTAATTTTATACCATTCTGGGGAAATATCTTGCCTAATAATTCATGAGGCATTGTAGGACTGGAAGAAGTAAAAATTGTAAATGAATCATTAAGGGAATAGCATAATTATGTTTATTTCATTGGTATTGTTTCACTGATGCCACTCTGAATGCTCTCCTTTCTGAATATGTGGCATGGATTATCTTAAAAAATACAGGAAAGTTAGAAAGAAGTGGGAAATGAATCTTTCCGATTAATATTGCTCAAGATAATATTTTCCTTTAAATATAAGTTTATAGAATTAGGAACATATGAAATAGACTCATCTGTGTCTTAAATGTTAAAAATTTGTTCATAAACTATTTTCCTAATCTCAATGTGGAGAAGGAAGGGCAGTGGCCTGAAGTTGCTAGTTTGTCTAGTTCTTTTGTTGTTGACATTTAATTGGAATTCACTGTCAATAAAGTGGTACATCAATAGACAATTTTTACCTACATAAAAGTCTTCAAGAAATTAAAATTTTCCCATTTTCAGAATACCTATCAAACTCTAACCAGGTTCTTTACACATTGCTGTGCAAATCTTCCTATTTTCTGTTATTAAAGATTTATTTATGCATAGAAGAACTGGGGTACAGGCCGGAAGTGTAGGTGATGGTGAGAGGATTCACCAGAGACAGAGTAGGGAGCAGAACAGGCAGATTGGCTGAAATACACTGCTGAGCCACGAGAAGACAGGAAGGTCTGCTGTGCCATGTGGGCCAGCTCCTGGCCGGGGATTGAACTAGTGCTGTCGAGGCTGCTGATAGCCTCATAGTGTTGCACTTTAACCTGTTGTGCCACCAGGGAGGCCCCTCCAAAAATCTCCCTAGTTTAAATATTGGTCTTTTTGTTTTTCTAGAATATATTGACATTAGTAACAAATACAATTTTTGGTAATTATATAGAATGTCAGTGATCAGTTTTTTAAATTAAGTGTTCTAAATTTTGATGGTTGCTAAAATTTTCAATTGTAGAAGACATATTTGTTCCTATTTAGACTATCTAATGTAGCTGTCCACACACATTCACCAACTGGTTAGTGGGTCAACCCACTTCTTACCTTACAAAGGATGCCAAAGTGAGGAATGTATTATGAAACCAGGATAGCTTTCAGTGCCACACATCTAAGCTGTTTCTTGGGAATGTTCAGCGGGAATGTAGAATTGTGGTTTAACTTTATTACAGAGCCTGGCACAACAGCTTCCTGGGATGTAGAGGGAAAGTGAACAAGTAGATATCCAATCTCGTTGGTCAAACATTTACTTTCTCTTTGAATTGTAGGTGGCTAAATAAGCTGGGATTATCTGTAATCCATCAGGAACCCACTACAAAGGATGAAGGTAGGTTCTATTTTGAATTTCTGAACATTCGCAATAATGAGAGTAGGATGAAGAAGGGTGAAAAAAAAATCCATTTCATGGATAGTTTTGTCCTAGTGAAACATACTTCAGCATTTAAAATTATCTGCAAATATGGAGAGAAATTAGTTCAGACAATCTCACCAACATGCACTAGAGCTTCCCACTTTGGCTATGATCGCTTTCACACTTCACCCACACTTTAGCAGCTGTAGGCTTCACTGACATCTCAAACAATTGTCAATGCAAATGTTGTATTGCCCCACTTACTAAATTCTTACTCATAGCTATGAACTTTTCATGATCTCGACAGATAAGCTCCATCCCACTCTTTCCTCTCAATAGTTTAATATTTCCATCAGGTGTGTACTGAGAGTAATTGCCTAAATTTTTACTGGGAGCCTGAAGGTCAGACTGGGACACAGACTGTAATTTTAGCTCAGTCTGTAGCTCTGGGGCTCAGCGCTACAAGGATCTAATTCTTAATGATGTAATTACTCTTCGCATTGAGGAGACTTGAGATACTGGGGTCATAGACGGATCTTTCTGAAATACTCAGACTGCACAGAACTTGGGAATTAGAAGTCAAGGCAATTTCTATATAACCCAGTTATAAACCTTACATTTAGAAATGGAAAATTGGCAACTTGATTTAACACAATAAAGAAGTACAGTAGAACACTGTGAAATTAGTGCTGTTACCATCTCCTGGATCCTCTTTCCCACAAAGCACCCATTGTATGTTTGAAGTACAGTTCTAGATTGTGAGAAAAGATTACTACACAGAAATCATCTCTTCAAACCGGTATGGACGGCCTTTTGTGATATAGCCTCGAGCAACCCTTTTGCTTTGTTTTTCACCAAATCCCATAGGGTGGCCGTATACTTTGTTCAGTCTTAGCTCTTGGCCTGGAATTCCCAGCAATCTGTGGCACCACTTATGTTTAACGTATCCTGCCAGTTTCAGCTTCTTAGAGTCAAAATTAACTACTATGGTTTTATGCTCAGAGGTGTCAGGTCCACCGTAAGGACTTATTTTTATTTTCCGTGACCTGTGGTAGCTGTCTTCTTGCACGTTGGTATTTTCTTAAGGACAGAGACTCTTTCACGGCCATTAGTTTCCCTTCTCGTGTCATGACCATTTCCTCATACCGGTTTGTTTACTAAATAAGTTCTTCTGGAGTTGGATGGAATTGCAGTAGCCAGATGGAGAAAAACCTCTGCTTGTACATTATGGAATATGCGATGATGGCACTAGAATGTGAAGCATTTCACTTTTGTGTAGAGTGCTACAGTGAGAGTGAGCAGGAAGACCCTGAAATTGCTGTGGAGACACCACCCCCTCCTTACACTTCAGAGACTTCAGAGACGCCGTCCTCTTCAGTAAGTACCGACGTGTGGTCTTTGGGGCTTGGCACGAGTGTGTGCTGACATTCTATTCCTTCTAATTGGGAGAAGCTATCTTGACCAATTAACTTGCATTCTTATTATTTTATAGTGGATTATTATTTTTTATTTTGGCAAAGTTATTTTCTTAAATGATTGTTCATTTTTGTGCAGTGTTTGACTTCTCCCCTTAGGTGCGGACCCCTCGTGTCCCACTGCCATAGCGCCGTGATCCATCACCACAGAGCTCTTCCCCCACCCCCGGGGTCTCTGTCCTCCCCATGCCCTGCTGTGTGTCTTGAATCTTTGTTGACCAATACATTTTTAAAACAAGCTAAATGAAGATACTGCCAGAGAGCTAGTCAGAGCTAGCACAGTGCACAGGGTGCTGACTGGGAGCCTTCTCCATGGCAACCCAGTGGTATGACAAAGAGCATTTGTGTGTGACCCACGAATGTCTCACTCGCCGTACTCATGGCGAGGGGCTCCAGGGGAGTGACCAGGGCTTACAAAGCTTGTGTGTGTTTTTGTATACCCTGTTTGTTCTCAGGAACAACCGAAAGTTCTTTGCCTAGATGCATGCACTATAGCAAAGGAAACCGAGAATAAAGGGGATACAGACTATAGCATGAAGAGAAATTACAGGCAAAAAGAGAGCAGAAACCAGATATAGCACAGCCTGGCAAAGGCAGTGATGCTCTTTGTCCCTAGGGAGAAGTCCACGTTTGGGTCCAGGTTTTGGAAGTGTCCAGTCTAAGTTCAGGTTATTGATGGATTTTACAACTTGAGAGAGTTACTTTATCATGGACTCGCATTGACCTCACAGTGATGGTCCCAAGAAGACCCAAACATGGACATTTGGAAAAGTTAACAATGGCTTCAAAAGCTGCCAATGACCAGAATTGATGTTGGTGCTTTCAATATATAACCACTTAGTTCTCCAAAGAACCACAGAAGTAGTAGTATTTAATCTGCAACTTGCTGGTTACTATCAAGCCAGACATTTTTAAATGTTTGTTAGCCATTCCTGTTTTTTCAAATACTGTTGTCAAATCTTTCATATATAGTTTAGCTGCCTGATTGTTTTATATTGGATTTATAGGGTTTCTTTATTATTCTATACATGGATCCTAACTAATCAGTTATAAGTGAGGCAAATCTCTGCCCACTTTGTGGTCTTTTGATATTTTAGAATCTCTTTCTTGGCTTCTGTTTGTAACCAAATGTAATTGATTTCAGTGTGTCAGATTGATCCATCACAGCTATTGTGGTTAAAGTCTTTTCCCCTCTGGATTTCAAGATTGTTTCCTTTTGCCAGGTCACGAGAAAGGAGGCATTACAGCCTTCCTTTCCTGGATGAGGAAACTGAGTTCAGAGAGACGCAGGGGCCTGCTGCACACTAGCCCCGGAGTCCACGTTCTCTGATTTGAGAGGACGTGATCTTTTCACTCACCCATCTGAGGTCTGAAATAACTATCAGTTCTGTCGGGTCAGCAGTTCTTTCACTTAGCAGACCTCTTCTGTCTGAACTTTCCATCTTGTATGATAAAGTTTTGCCATTTCCAGTATCGAAGGAGTTACACATTATGTAAATAATGGCCTATTTTACACTGTCATTGGCAGAGATCTGTGGCCACTTTTCTAGCTGATTTGACTAGTAACCAAGAGAGAAATAAATAGCTGTTGGGTGGATATGTGTATTAAAATCTCTATTCGACAGGATTGGCTGAAATTTAGCAAACTATAAAAATGTCAACTTTGAATATGGTAAAACTTAGACTAATGTTTGTAATGACAGTATCCTGTCAGAATATATTCATCTATTTTCCTGATTGAACTTTTTCTTCTTTTAAAGTTAGTTTCTGAATCTGCAAAGTGCATTTGCTCCCTCTCTATCGCTCAAACTTAGTGATATTTCCAATCCAGCTTTCTTGGATTACTTACCCTTTATTGCTTCAAAGAGGCCATCAACTTTGTGCTGAGTAGGTCTGCAATAGAGGTTCTTTGTTTTAATACAGAAGTGTGCATTTTGTTCAGTTTCTCTGTCTTTTATCTTCCTGGCTCTGTCTCTTCCTCTTCTTTTTCACCACGAATACATAAGGATTTAATTGGTTCTCCTTCCTTCTCTTCCTGAAATTCCCACTTCTCTCCATGCCTTCCAATATGACTAGCTGTGATTTTCAGTTTTACAATGGCAAACTGATATCAATGATTACTAAGACATTAGTAAATGACATCACTAGCCAGGCATTTAGAGCTCTCCTTTATGATAGTAAAAGCCCTCCAGCTGTGCTTTTAGGGAGAGGTCATGGCATTTGTTCATTGTCCAGCTCCACGTCTTTACCTGATGTCCAGCAGGAGCTCAGACCGTGCTTGCTTAAGCCATGTGGATGAAGGGAGACTCCTGAGATCAGAAAGTCAGGTCAGTGAAGTGGGAGGATTCTTTAGAATTTTCTGAGTCATCAGTCAAATGTTATTCTTAAAAGTTCTAAGTTGACCATTTTTTTGGGAAAACCACCAGCGCTGACATTTCTTTTGAATAAATACATTGGAAATAGATAATTGTTGAACAGTTCAGTATTATTTTCCATAGAAACAAAATATGTCCCTCTTGCTTGCATATTTCCCAGCCAGATTTTGTTTTTATTTCCTCTGGGTTCTGAAAAACAGACTTGCAAGACATCTGATTAAAATAGCATTTAAGCCTTTTACTTAAATAGATGAAAATTTAAAAATCATGGTGACTTTTACCCAGAATATGAAATAGATTACTTTGGCTTAATATGTTAGGCTAGCCATAACTGAGTTATACATGTCTACCAAAAAAAAAAAAAAAAAAAAACACAGAAAAACAAAAAACAACAAAAAAAACCTTTATAAGTTCTTGCTTTCTAAAAATTATTTTGGGTAATGAAATTTCATTTAGGAATGATGACCCCCAAAGTATAAAATAATGCTATCATGGAAAATTAACTCAGGCAATTTTAAATCTGGAATTAAAAAGCTAATGGGGTCACTCATCATTCTAATGGCTGTAGTGTAAAGATAAGCAGTAGAACTTCTGTAACTGCCTGGCCGTTTTCGGAAAGGAAATTTCCAAGCAAAGGGAGCAGTTTGGGTCAAGATCTCCTGGGTGCATAGGTAGTAATGCAGGAGCAGTGTGCCTGGAGAGGAGGGAGGGAGATGTGAGCAGGAGGGCGTATGGGCTGGTATTAGTGGTGGCAACCTGGTGTGGGGCTTGTGGGCCAGTTACGGGACTTGGGGGCTTTGAGTTCGTTCAGGGCCATGGGAAGATCTGAGCGAGGGTGATGTGGTCAGTTTCCAATTTGAAAGCTCCTCTCAGGATATTGTATGGTCAAGATACAGGGAGGTGGGGAGAGGAGAGAAGCCTAGAACCCCTGGGAGAGCAAGCAGTGAGAAGGGGAGAGGGTGACTCCTGAGGGCAGGAGTTTGAAGACAGTTGCAAGAGAGACCACCCAGTAGGCGGATGAGATCTGAGAGAAACTGAGAAGGTAAATATTTATAATCCCAGCTTCAAGCAGCTCTTGCAGATTATTTTAACAAGACAGTCCTCACACAGTATGTGATGCCTTTCAGAAGTACAGTTTATTATATCCAAATGAAAAAAAAAATTCCCTAAACCATCAACTCAAACCAAAGAAACAATAAATAAAAGCAAACCTGCGAATCGTGTCCCTGCCCGGAGGTAGAGGAATCTGTCTCAGGTCAAACAGAAAGGGGTAAGGTCAACTTGCGAGATTCATATCACATCTCAGAGGACCAGTGCACATGGCAGTTCACTAAATATTACTTGGGCTTTCCATATTCTTTCCATATCTGTACTATAGAAAATAATGCAGATGCTTACAAGTGAGAGAGCTCGATAAAAATTGTCTATGGCTGGAAATACAATGAAAGGGGAGAAGAATCCTCCAGATGCAAAATACTATCCAAAGCTCTGTGGTGGAACGTTGAACTGATTTTAAGACTTCTCTAAAATTCAGTTTTAGACCTTTGCTTCCTGCTTCACCATCCCTCTGCCCTGTGGACTCAATCATAGGCAGGCCTGTCCTCCAGCCTCCTCCGAGTCTCTGCCCCTGCTTAGCTGGGCACCAGCATTAGCTCCTGCCCACTGTTGAAATAGCAGTTTCCTTTTCCTGTCTCTAATCTCTCTCGTTCAGAACTTCCTCCTAGTCTTGCTAAGCGGCGTTCTGATAATACTGATTCAACTGCACCAAGATGTTACAGTGAATTTTGATTGTTTATCGAATTCATTCTCACCCTGGCTTGTTATTTAAGACCTGGGGTTTCCTTCAAAGTGTTACTGTGGTCTAGTTGCTAATTCCTCTTCTACCATCAGCCCAGTCAAATGCCTATGATTTCCCTACAGCTTTCCAGACCCACCTGCTCGTGCAGTTCTGAAGTCCTTCCACTTGTAGGAGAAACCAGCCAACTCCCCTCACCTGAATTGCACTGTCTAAAGACTTTGAAGGCCAGGTCAAATGTCACTTCCTTCAAGGTAGCTCACCTTGTCCTCTAAACAGGGTCCTGTCCTGTTCCCAATTCTCTGCATTCCTAGAGTGCAGTGTTCTTTTTTTTTTTTTTTAAGACTTATTATTTATGCATACAGAACTGGGGTACAGACCAGAGGTGCAGGGGCAGTGAGGGGATTCACTAGAGACAATGGGGAGCAGAACAGGCTGACTGGTGAAAAACACTGCTGAGGGGAGCAGTGGGCGGGTCAGGAGAGGTCTGCCGTGCCATGTGGTCACCTCCGGGGCAGGCGGGAATCGAACTTATGTGGAAGTGGCTTAAGCTTCTTATCGCAGTGCTTTAACCCGCTGCGCCACCAGGGAGGGCCAAGTGCAGTGTCCTTTGCTGTCTTTTCCATGGGGTTACCATTTGCCTAGCTTACAGATTTTTGTGCATCTGACTTATTTCTCTAATACATTCTTACAGGGCAAAGCAATGTGGGCTACCTTTTCCTTTTCCCACAACAGCCATGATGGTCTCTAGCTCATATTCAAAATAACTTACTTATAAATTTTGAATACTATAAAATATATACATAATGTAATGTGTCAATAATATTTATGCCATGAATGGACAGGGCCGTCACAGGTGACTTTTGTAACTTTATCTTCAGCTTCCATAGATTTGTGGCTCTACAAGCATTTTCCCAAGTGAGTTAAAAAGCTCCTGCCCTGCACTGGCCTGGGGCTTTCACTCACCTTTAAGCAGGTGGATGGAGATGTTGTGGGCAGGCAGATGTGTCCATAGAGGCCTTCTCAACTATGGCGGAGACTGTGGCTTTTCTCCTTGTGAAGGGAAGACAGAGGGTTTTCAGCAAGGGACACTGTGATCGGTCTTGTGTTTTAGAAATACTCTCGCAGTGGCTGAAGGATGGACGTGGTGGGGGAAGAGTAAGCAGTGGGGTTGGAGCAGGAGGTCGAGTAAGGCTTGGAGGTAAGGCCACTTTCCCCCAGGTCACCTGGATCCTGAGGATGGATGTGCGGAGTGGGGCTTCTCCCAGTTCACTGTCCAGGCTCATGTTGAATGTCTGTGGCAGAGGAGGGGATGTCCACAGGGGCTCAGGGCTTTTAGAGTAATTCTTCCAATGCCAAGGCAGCAACACGAACATACACTTCCTGGGACTTAATGTCCATCCTATTAAAGACATGACATCCATTATATCTTATTTAGGAATATGATTGATAAAAGGAGCGAAAAGTTGTATATTTCCCTCAGTTGGCTTTATGATGTTTAGTCTTAAGTTATTTCTGTGTTTTCTTCCTTTCATAGACTTGGACTAATTTTACTTAGGGTTTATGTGATGACTCACTTCTTCCTAATTATTAGCTTTGGGTGGCCATTTTAAACTAATTTTCCTCATGTCAAAGTTGTGTTTTTGAAACAATTCAAAGAAAAGGATTTTAGAGATAATTAGCATTTGAATTAAGCTTCTCAGAAAAATACAACTATACAGAAAATTGGAAAAACAATATTGATTTTAAAATTGAGTCATAGTCTCTTCATTAAAACCAAGTCCTTTAAAATATTTTATTTTCTATTAAAAAAAAAAGATGTAAACTCCACATGGCCTGAAATGAATGAAACTGCATACAATCATTAATCTCTAATAAATAAAATAATTTTCTTGGAGATTATGGAAACATTTTGTGGGAGTGTTTGCATTTCAATCAGAACCAGTCACCCTAGATCCTCAGACTGAGATAAATTATTCAGAGCTACTTTACAAGAAATCTCAGGGTGCTCAA